GATGGAGGATCTCGACTTCAAATTCTACGGAAGCGTCATCGATCGATTATACAGAGTGTGTATCGATCGATATGTGTCTTTTATATCGGATCTTCGTAGTCATCTTGGAAAACTCTTCTTTAAGCACCAAAAGGCACCTAAATCATCACTTTACCACAAAATGCTCCTGAACCTGAAAACATACCTAATAGACTCCAAAACATAGATAATTATAATAAAAACTTAAAGAAAATATGACCAAAAGCGGGTCAAAATCATGGTCTATCAGAACAATACTTAACCACCTCTTGAAACTCTTACATACCCAAAGCATCATGAAAAGAACCCACATCAGAATGCTCCACTCCATTAAGTATCTCATTAAATTCTCTTTAGACCATCCACGGTGACTTTTTTATGATAAGAGAATCCTGATGATTCATAACATCCCTCCAGAGTTCCTTTCTCTCCTCCACCAGGTTTAGAGCATAAACAAATGAACAAAAAATCTCTTCCTTCATACCCTCCATTAGAATAGAACATGTGATCAACTGCGTACTTTGAAAACATGGAGTAACTCTTACACCTTGACTCCAAACCACCCACAATCTTCAAAGTCGATGATGATCATAATTTGTTAGATACGACCATCCTGGAAACACTTTTTCTATAATTCCCTTTGCCTTGTTCTTCTTTACCCGCGTCTCAATCAAACAACCAAACTGAAAACCACATTTTCTAACTCATTCTTTACCACAAGATGCTTAGAAGGGTTGTTGAAGCCTCTAATATTCCAGTAGAAACTCGACATACTTATTATCTTTGAGGTTTCTTCTTATTCAGATAGCTAAGACCACTGAGCTTTCTGACCCGCTTTCCCCTTAAGATATATGTGATTTATCTTTGAGTCTCTAGGTAAAATTTGTCGAGAAATTATCATATCCTTCTTCTCAACCAGATCCTCAGAAATTTCAGAAACTTCAGATTGCTCTTGTTCCTCATTTCCATTTTCCACTATTTCTCCCTCTTCCTCAGGCGCCAACACAGAGAATCTAGATTTGGTGAGTATATATTCTCCATATCTCAATTCCCTTTTTGTGTTAGGCGATCTACATGTTCTCCCCGATGAGATAAAACGCTCTTTTTCCCTTTTCCAAATTTTCCTCCTTTTGATCTTCCACACCCTTCTTACTCCTTGCACTACTCCCCTCAGAAACCTCAACATCTTTATCCTCATGTGTTTTAGCAACCTCCTGGTTCTCCAAAACATCTTCTTGTGTCTTCATACCTTCAACATCATCATCAATAACTTTTCTTCCCTCCTCCACAATCCCTACCTTCTGATCCTCCTTATCTTTTGGACAAGCTTTTACAGAGTGTCCTCATTTATCACACTTCACACACTTTGTTAGCAGCCACGGTTAGATATACTCTACCGAAACATCTTCACCTTGAACATTAAAGTTCATCTTCTTTGGTAAATCCTTTGTTAAATCTGTGGGAACCGAAATTCACCTACTGTCATTGAATCGTAAATAAGGAAACTTTGAGTAAACCCTAAGTTTCCAGAGGACCCGGCTATCTGCCGAACCGCACAACGATAATTAAGAAAACGATGAACTTAAAATTAAAGTATGAATGAACGAGATTGAGAGCAAGAAGGTTTTTATTCTGAATCTGCGTAAGAACTCTGTTACAACGAGAGTGGACTTAGCTGCGTGAGCCGTCGGTGAAATCCCTAACTTAAGACCGAAAACCCAAGTTGAGACGCAGCTCGCTAACAGAAAACAGAAATATTCCTAAATGCTAAGTTTGGTGGTGAAACTCTGAAAATCGTGTCCCTGCTTCTGCCCTATGCCTCTTTCTTATATACTCCTCTCCTAGGCGGTTTTAGTCTTTCCATTTTTCCTAAATTCGAGTTTATCGGAAATCTTCCATTTATCTCGATCCTTCCTTTTTTCCCCCGGAAATCTTCTCTTTATCTTCCAACTTGCCATTTATCTTCAAACTTGACATTTATCTTCCTTCTGCGAGTAAACCATCAAAACGTTATCATATCTTCGGGTTAGATTTCGTTAAGATCGAGAGATGGGATTTTATCGCGTTTTAGGACCTTCCGGGCCGTTTTGCGATAAATCCGTTCTACGACTTTATACGAGATCGTTTTCTGATCCGATACTGCTGTTAGTAAATTCCCCGAGTTAATCGTAAAGTTTAGCTACGTTTGTTTCTCGGTTAATCGTTGCCGTTTTTACGATTCACTCGATGCTTTTATTAAAAACGCGTTTTTTACGATTTTTACGAAAAATATCGAATAAATCGTATAGTTTAGGCAATGTTTGGTGTTTCGTTTAAACGTTGCCATTTTCTACGATTTCCTCGAGTTCTTTTCGAGAAAACAAAGTTTTACGGTTTTTATCGTAAAACTCGAATGATAGGACAGATTGAGACGAAACGGGAGACATTTTGACCGTGGTTTGGAACATGACCGTGTCGAAGGACGTAAGCCTTGAATCGGGGATACAGGAGATCGAGGCTCGGGACTGTCGGTTCGACGTACGGCTAGTCGAACCGGACCAGTTCAGCTCGCCGTTTGGCGAACTGCCCGGGAAGCTTCTAGCTCGCCCAACGGCGAGCTAGTTGGGACGAGACTAGTCGAGACGAGGCTAGTTCGCCCAACGGCGAGCTAAGCCGGCTGGCTTAGCTCGCCGTTGGGCGACCTAGTCGTGACGTGACTAGCTCGCGTTTTACGGCGGTTTTGCTTTTTCTTGGTTTGTGCTTAACTCGGACGATCGTGTAATCGACGTTTGTTTGTTTCATTTTTCCGAGATGACGATCTTCCGAGTCTTCCGCGGATCTCCTTTGTTCGGAAATTTCTTTTGGATATATAAAACGATTCTTCGAGTTTTATAAACGATTTCTCGAGTTTTATAAAACGATTCCTCGAGTTTTATAAAATGATGCTTCGAGTTTTATAAAACGATTTCTCGAGTTTTATAAAACGATTTCTCGAGTTTTATAAAACGATTCTTCGAGTTTTATAAAACGACTTCTCAAGTTTTATAAAACGATTTCTTTTATCTTTTTGCGGGGAGTTTTGGCTATTGATTCCGTCGTACCGATTTTTACCCCAACAAAATCCACTTTAAAAAATATTTTTACCACTTCCAAGTTTAGACACTGAGCGGTCACCGGATGCAGTCTCGCTGGAGTACCCACTAGACTTGTCAGAAAACTCAACCCATGCCATGAGAACATCGACAAAGAAACATTTTTAACATGTACCCACATTGGAATAGATTGCGTTGGAGGCTTCTCCTTCTCTATCACCGGCGAACATTTAGTCACAACCACCGGAACTCCTGCCAATTCCACACATCCCTCTGTAAAATCATGTTTCTGTCAACTTGATTCAGAATCCGGAACTTCATCATCGTTGAGTTAACCTCAAAAACCTCTATCTTCTGCATATCATTCAGAGTCCATATCTTATTGACTACTGCGTGCACTTTAGCTACATGTGGAGCACTATCCATAAAATTTCCAATGAGGAAATCATCCCACAATGGTGGTACATCCTTCGTAATCTCTTCCGGGACATTCACCGATCCTATACCATCTTTCATCTCAATTTCAACTTCATACTTCTTCAGAAATTTTTAACACTGAACAACTCCAACCCATGAACTCTTAGACCCTTGCCCCCCCTCCCCCCGAAACCTCATCCCGATCACTCGGAATAACCTTCTGAGCCGATCCATCTTCGTGCACCACTCAATCAGAAGCCTTTGGAGATTGCTCTTTTAAACCATCTTCCTCCAAACTCCTTAACCCTAAAACCTTCGTCAGATTCTGAGTCAAATCTTCCAAATCCTGCCTTGCCACTTGATCAGAAACCTGCATCTCCACCAGGGATGTACCCTCCTTCGTCGGAGAAGAAGCTAAATCCGGAAGCTCCACCCCACTCATGCCTTTGTCGAAGAGAAAACCCCAAATCGCCTTATCGCCTTCTTTTTCGCCTCTTGTGAAATAGTGCGTATTTTCTTTTCTAGTTTCTCTTACAATCCAAATTTATCACTCATTAAGATTATGAATTGGATTAGTTTGGATTGATCCATTAATTTGAACTCATTTTGATACCAAATAGACTTTGTTTTTTTTTAAAAAAAAAAAAAAACATATAGACTTTGCTTACTCTCAAAACAATTTGTTTAGTTTTACCTTCTATCAAATATTCTAATAAAATTTAGAGGTTAATTTTTTTGTGTTTTTTCAAACAGTTTTTGGCTTTTGTTTTTGTAAAAAAATTTTTTTTACCAATCAAGATTTTGAAAAAAAAAATATTCCCTAAAACACAGAAATTTGTAGTTAAGTATATGTTTTCAAACAAAAAACAAAAGCTATATTGTCATGATTTTTAACAAGAGACAATGGCCGTTATGTACCCAAACGAAGCTCATATTGGCAAAATGTCCATGCGTTTATAATTGCGAAAAAGTGATGACATTTTGGGCTGGTGTGAACGATTTTGCCCCTGCTTTATCACCCCCAAAATCTGTTGGCGTTGAAGTGCGTGTGTCAGAGAGGAACTAAGATTGGATTTGGTTGATGCGTGTTCATAGAGCATGAATGACACAAGGAGGCGCCGGAGCCGACGATCTGCTGGGTAAAGACAAAAACCGTACTCATTATGATGGTTTTTACTTCGATAAGTGTTCTTATTTTGCGTATTGGGTTGTGGGATTGGTACTAGGGTTTATCGATGAGAATATATATAGTTAGCAGACAGTGAGAGATTGGTTAGATTGGTAAAGTGAAAACAAACACTGTGATTGAGAGTTTGGTGGCTAGCAACTCGTTTAACAGTGTTTGTTATCTCTTAGAGGAAAGGTATATGATTTCGATTAGCTATAATTACCGAATGAGTTATCTTTATTTATTTTGGTAAATGAAGAACTAACTTGTTATGATGAAAATGGTTTCTTTCAGGAGGAAACAATGACTTTGTTGAAGCTCAAGAAATGGGGCATCTCGTGCGGCTTGTTGTTGGTGACTGGCAAAGACTCGCCCAAGAGACATGGAAATTCGACATTGACAACACACAAGTAAAATACGATGTTGTGCTGCGAGAGAACGAAACTTACAACGACTTGGTGGAGATGGTGAGGGGTAAGTATCATGTACTCCCTTCTGAAGTCGTTGCCCTGACCTACGACTTCCCTGACTGGAGGAAAATTCCTGGAGACTACACCACACCACCTGTGGACATACTGGAAGACGGGGATGTGGAGCTCTTCATGGCAGTGAGGATGGATTTCGTGAACTTGGCGATATGTGTGGCCTACGGTAACGAAGATGTTGACTGCTACAAGATAATGCGTAGGGAGTAGTACTGGCTTACTGAAGACGGTACAAAAGTGGTTCCGCCTAAGCTTATCCCGTGGAGAGGTAATTTGTCAGTGAATATTACATCTGTAACTGTTTTACCATTAACTTAGCAACTAACGTCCAGTCTAACTGTTACAGGTTTCTGTGCGGGTGGATACCTACAAACTCGAGAAGTCGTTTTATAAAACTCGTTAAGTCGTTTTATAAAACTCAAGAAGTCGTTTTATAAAACTCGAGAATTCGTTTTATAAAACTCAAGAAATCATTTTTTAAAACTCGAGAAGTCGTTTTATAAAACTCTAAAAGAAATCCGCGGAAAAATTAGGAGCCGTTATCTCGGAAAAATGAAACAAACGCCGATCACACGATCTTCCGAGTTAAGCACAAAACCGCGAAAAACCGCATCCGCCGTAAACCGCGAGCTGGTTCGGCCGAACTAGCTCGCCGTACGGCGAGCTATCTCGACCAAGGATAGCTCGCCGTACGTTGAGCTATCCCAACCAACGCTAGCTCGCCGTACGGCGAGCTACGGACGTCCCATATAGCTCGCCGTACGGCGGGCTGAACCGTTCCGGTTCGGTTTGCCGTACGTTGATCTAATTATCCCAAGCCTCGATCTCCCACGTCCTCGAATCAAGGCATATGTCCTTCGGCACGATCGTTTTCTAAACCACGGTCGGAATGTCCCATGTTTTGTCTCGATCCGTCTTATCGTTTGAGTTTTACGATAAAAACCGTAAAGTCTTGTTTTCTCAAAAGAACTCAAGGAAATCGTAAAAAGCGGCAACGGTTAACAAAACACCGAACATTGCCTAAAGTATACGATTTACTAGAGATTTTTCGTGAGAAATCGTAAAAACGCGTTTATAATAAAAGTGTCGAGTGAATCGTAGAAAACGGCCCGATTAACCGAAACATCGAACATTGCCAAACTTTATGATTAACTCGAGAAACTTACTTAAAAACGTCATCGCATCAGGAAACGATTTCGTCTAAAGTTGTAAAATGGTTTCTTATCGCTAAACGGCTCGGAAAGTCCTAAAACACGATAAAAGCCCACTCGCGCTTTAACGAAATCTAACCCAAAGATACGACGACGTTTTGACGATTTACTCATAGGAAAGAAGATAAATGTCAAATTCGAAGATAAATGGCAAGTTTGAAGATAAATAGAAGATTTCCGCGGGAAAAAAAAAGGAAAGATCGAGATAAATGGAAGATTCTCGATAAACTCGAATCTGGGAGAAATGGAAAGACTAAACCGCCTAGGAAGGGAGTATATAAGCAAGAGGTAGAGGCAGAAGCAGGGGACAAATTTCAGAGCTCTCATCTGAGGCTTTTACAACTATTCTAGACTTAGAATTTTCCGCACTAAGAAACTTAGGCTTTTTTCTCGATAAGTTCAGTTTCTATGACTAGCGCTCATTGACTATACGAACTGGCCAAGGCAGTTCGATCTCTTGTCCAGCTCTATCAACTGAACTACGTTTTACTTGATCCTCGAAAGGGGTACGTAGGCAGCCTTTCATAAGGTTGAGTCCGAAATCAATCAAACCTTTTTCTTATCTTTTTCCGTCTTTTGTTATCGAGCGACTCGACTAAGTTTAAGGTTTTTATGTTGATAACTCGCTGATGGCCCTGCGGCCAAAGCCTTTGTAAACCCTTGTAATAATCGCAACGCTCTTACGCGAAATCGAAATAAGATCTACTTTTTCTAGAAATTTGTTTTATTACATTTTTCACATTTTCCGCATTTATTTGGTTACTTGTCTTTGGCTCTCGCAGAGATCCGGTTCCTCTGGTAAGTTAGGGTTTTCCTAAGTTTCCTTATTTTATGAAAATCGACAGTAGGTGAATTTTGGTTCCCACAATGAAATTGTAATTTTCCAGATTTGTCCGCGTAAAAGACTTACCCGTAAGTCGTGTGGCTGTAGAAGACTACGGGTAAGTCTTCTGGTGCTTAGGAAGTCATCTCACCAGTAAGTCATCTAGGCTAAACGGGTTAGTTTTGCATTTGACCGAATTGTGTCAGATATTTGACTTTTTCTGGAAGACTTACCAGTAAGTCGTCTCTTGGAAAACAAAAATTTTGATATTTTATTAAAGCTAGACGAATTATGTAGAAGTCGTCTCATGTTAGTTTTGCAATTGGAAAATAAAACTTAAATATTTAACTTTTCTCAGACGACTTACACGAAAGTCGTCCAGTCAGACGACTTAGACGGAAGTCGTCCAGTCATACGACTTAATTGAAAGTTGTCCGACTTACTTAAAAGTCGTCCAGGATAAGAAAAGTTGTCCAATTTTTTTTTCCAAGATTCTGGTCAAACCTTGCTTATCTCGGACGGCTTTCTCGTAAGTCGTCTAACTGGGCGACTTTCTCGTAAGTCGTCTAACTGGACGACTTGCAAGTAAGTCGTCTGGGAAAATTTAAATATTTAAATTTAATTTACAAATTGCAAACAAATTTGAGACGACTTACAGAAAAGTTGTCTAGTTTTAAAATAAAGTCGTCCATGAAAAGTCAAATATCAGACACAATTCGGTTGAATGCAAAGCTAACCCGTTTTATCCTAGACGACTTCGTCTAGAATTCTTTATTTTAACAAACAAAGTTGGACGACTTACAAGTAAGTCATCCTATTTAGAAGCAATTGCAAAAATGACTTGTTTGGACGACTTACTGGTAAGTCGTATAAGTCTTCAGAGGAATTACTGGTATGTCGTCTACGTCAATGTTTAGTAAACTTTCATTTTATCTATGTTTTACTAATGTGTTTTCTTTTGAATTTTTACAAATGATGTGTCAGTCACATGCAGTGTATGGAGAATGGTTGTTGAAAGATTGCTGTTGGATTTTGTGGTTGATAATTTCAAAAGAGCGAGAATGTTTTTTTTTGCATGAAGGTTCGACACACATGCTGAACTTGTTGCAATAGCTCAAGAAGATTATAACCTGGACATGAGCACAAAATATGTGGAGATAACCTACTCATTACCAGCAGAAATGATGCAACAAGTGGGTCCAAACACCCCTCATATTCATGTTACAAGTGATAGACAAGTTCGAAACTTGGTCGAGATAACCAAAACGCATGGACTACAGCTTTGTGTATCAAGCCGTAGCAAGGTGGAAACGGTTTCAGAGGAAAAGGAAGAAGATGATGAATCTGATGAAGCTGATGAATGTTTCGAAGATGATGATTTGGTTGAAGATGAAAATCATGATGGGGAGGAGGATGATGTGAAGGAGGATGCTGATGTCTCTATTGTTTCTGAAGGGGACGAGAATGGTGAGGATTACAGTGTTTATGGAAAGGTTAAAGATGAGGATGAGGAAGAAGATGATGATATGTGTTTTGAAGATTTCAAAAAGACATGTGCTATTGAAAGAGGAAGATCGAATGGTAACAATATCTATGTCAACTAGAGTTTTGTTAGCAAGGATGCATTGCTTTCAGAGCTATGGTTGACAGCAGTGAGGCATAGTTTCTCCTTCAAAATATACAAGTCACGAAAACTCTCCTTGTGGCAACATATCGGGTTAGTGGTTGTCGATGGAAGATCAGAGCGAGTATGAAACATGGGACAAACACGTTTTAGGTAGAAAAGTATGTGGAAACACATATGTTGGGGTCAAAATCGGTACGACGGAATTTATAGCCAAAACTTTCCGCGAAATTACAAAAAGAACAGTTTTATAAAACCCGAGGAATAGTTTTATAAAACTCGAAAAATCGTTTTATAAAACTCGAGAATCGTTTTATAAAACTCGAGAATCGTTTTATAAAACTCGAGAATCATTTTATAAAACTCGAGAATCATTTTATAAAACTCGAGAAATCGTTTTATAAAGCTCGAGAATCGTTTTATAAAACTCGAGAAATCGTTTTATAAAGCTCGAGAATCGTTTTATAAAGCTAGAGAAATCATTTTATAAAGCTCGAGAATCGCTTTATAAAACTCGAGAAATCGTTTTATAAAGCTCGAGAATTGTTTTATAAAACTTGAGAAATCCTTTTATAAAGCTCGAGAATCGTTTTATAAAACTCGAGAAATCGTTTTATAAGGCTCGAGAATCGTTTTATAAAACTCGAGAAATCGTTTTATAAAGCTTGAGAATCGTTTTATAAAACTCGAGCAATCGCTTAATAAAACTCGAGAAACCGTTTTATAAGACTCGAGAAATCGCTTTATAAAACTCGAGAAACCGTTTTATGAAATACGAAGATCGTTTTATAAAACTCGAGAATCGTTTTACAAAACCGCAAAAAACCGAAAAAGCCGTAAAACGCGAACTAGTCGCAACTAGTCCGCCCACCGGCGATCTAAGAAACACTCTCTAGATCGCCCATCGGCGATATAAGCCGGGCCCGGCTTAGATCGCCGATGGGCGATCTAAGGATCACTCTTTAGATCGCCGATGGGCGATCTAAGAAACACTCCCTAGATCGCCCATCGGCGATCTAAGCCGGGCCCGGCTTAGATCGCCGATGGGCGATCTAAGGGTTGCTCTTTAGATCGCCCATCGGCGATCTAAGCCGGGTCCGGCTTAAATCGCCGATGGGCGGTCTAAAAACTTCCCGAACACTCCGCGTCTCGATTTCCTGCATTCCTGATTCAAAACTTACGACTTTCGACAAGGTTGCGTTCTAAACCACGGTTGAAATATCTCTCGTTCCACCTCGATCCGACTTACCATTCGAGTTTTACGATAAAAACCGTAAAACTTCGTTTTCTCGGAAAGAACTCGAGGAAATCGTATAAAACGGCAACGGTTAAACAAAACACTGAACATTGCCTAAACTATACGATTTATTCTAGATTTCTCGTTAAAATCGTGAAAAACGCGCTTTTAATAAAAAAACGCCGAGAAAGTCGTAAAAAACGTGTTTTTAATAAAAAAGTCGAGTAAATCGTAAAACTTCGCGATTAACTCGAGAAATTTACTAAAACGACGTCAGATCAGGAAACGATCCCGTAAAAAAGTCGGAAAACGGTT